CACGGTTTGAATATCTCGTTTTGACTGTCACCACTCAAGAGGGTGAAGCAAGTTTGCCGGCAGTTTTGGATTCTACTGCGTTTTCGTCCAATCGTAACATCAATATCTACAGAGATGAATTTTAACCGAAACACTTTTAATGAACGATAATTTTTTGTGAACTGTAAAAGCAACCTGGAACTCGTTTATTCACCTTTGCGTTTTGTGTTGCAGTTACTCGGAGCTCTGTTCATGTGCTGCTGGGGAATTAAGACCAAGCGAAGGAAAGCGGCTGATGAAAAGGCAGGTCGTCTGCCGTATCCAGATGAGAAGGAAGCGATGCGAGACGAGGTGAGATAAGACAGACTTTTGTTGCAATTTTCTCTGTTCATGCACGATTAAATTTGCCAGAAAGTATAAGCAGCGATGGATCATAGTGTGTAACAGTAGGTTTTTAAGTATGAAAAAAGCCGGAAGGCTTAATTCAGATCCGGGATGCTTACCAAGATGGGATATAAAAATTAGTGGAAGTAGTGAAGTAATATTGATTAATTCATTCTTAATCTCACTCTACTAACGTTTAGCCATATCAAATGATTCTGCTCGAGAGAGATGAAAATTTAACTTGGAAGCAAGCAAATGATCGGTCACTGGATAATTGCAGATTACCTGGTACCGAAGCTGGTGTCAAACAATAATAATATTTAAATACTTTGACAATATCACAACATTTTCTTCGAGTAGTTCGCAAAAACACTTTGCAGGCATATGACACAAGAGCTTATGGAAGAGAGAAAAGCAGCCTGCCGTCGGACAGTCATGACAATCTTCAAGACATGTACAGGAATGAGGAAAGGTATCGTGACGAATCATTTCGAGATGCCGAACGCGGTGCTCGAATCGAGAGAGTCACTGATACGAGGAGTGCTGCAAATCTTGCTGATGGTACGTTGTCGTACCACAACGATGCTTTAGATGCATAATAATTCATTCTGTTCATGATTCGCGTCTTCATGCGTTTCATTTTTTTCATGATTCATGGTTGTTATGTGATTGATTGCATGGGGTGAATGTTCACAGCTTTCAAAAGAATTCATCCAGAGTAGCAAGTCTTCCGTTGGCTNGAATGGTTTGAAATGCTACTGTTTGAAGGAATGGATCGATCGAGTGGTGCTGGATTTACGGCTGCTACGGAATATGGTGGAAGCGCAATGGATTATCCGCCGCCCCCACCGCCAAATTACATGAGTCCAGCTGAATATAGGGCTGGTATGGAAGGCAATCGTACAGATGTAATGGATGCTGGTGCAGACTTTTCGGCAGCTGCTGGTGCTGGGAATGCGGGTGGAGTCTATCGTGACACTGTCAGTGTATCTCCTCCAGCATTTCCTGCACAAGCAACAGTCACAACAACAACCACCACCAAAAGACGGTCGGTTCTACTGATTTTCTGAATTCATATCAAAATGATGTTATCCAACAGATAAAGTCATAGGAAACACAGTCATAGGCAGGCACCCAACTTTCGACTGTAATTCACATACTTCAATTAAAATGACCACAATGAATGAAGAAGCAATCCGCAAACTTTCAGAAAGGCTCATCACGCAGGTGGCAGCGCTTATTCAGAATCAGCAGCAGCAGCCACAGCAGGAACAGCAACAATGCAAGATCAGAGTCATTTACTTGGACTTAACACCAGCGTTTAATGCGCTTGCAGCTACCTTTCATACCGTCATTTGCGTTCTCTAAGATACTTGGAAATTATATCATCAGAGATCATTTCATTAATCAAATGTTGTATTGATATTTGTATAGAACATATGATGTTGTTGTGAGCAAGTGCATCAGGTTTGAGCTCAAATTTACTTGATCAGTACTGATGTTAGCAGTGATATTTTGTATTCACCGTCGCCATTCTTATTCACTCCTTTAAGTCGTTATCGTCTTAACTGCAAATAAAGCTTCAAATTTAGTTGATCAGTGCTCGCTTGGAAAACTTGAAGCAATTTTCTAACATTTAGAAGCGTAGGTGCCCTACTGAGGCGTGGAAATAGTTGAAAATGAACATGTCACATTTGTTCATTAAAGGCCTATCTAATTTTTCAAACCGAAACAAGCACAAACATTATTCGGAGAAAACGACTAATTGAAGCAGAAACATTATTTGCATCAGGAATCGATCTTTCTGTTATTGGACAATTACTCCAGTTCTCTTCTATATGAGCTTCAGTTATATGAAAGTATCAAGCATTCATCCTACTGACTGCGCGCATATTCGGAATGATAAAATGTTTCAAATCTCCAATCAGTTCTATAGTTGATAGCAGTGGTTTCGTAAGCTGAATGAATATCACATACTCAGAGATTAGGCAAATTTTTGTGGTGATCACAAATCTGGCCAAGCATTTTTCCTTCCCTCATCATGAGCTCGGCGTTCCCGGCTGAATAGTCCATCTCGACAGTTGTCAATTGCTTTTTGTTCCATCGGACAACTTGACAAATAAGTTCGTTCCTGTGGGCTTATTCGAAAAAGAAACGAATCATTGCGCATTTTAACCAAATTTGTGCAGTTGCATTTTTCTTTTCCTATTACGTTGAAATTGTTTCCTCCTCTATTGATCGACATTTTTCTTGAATCTTATCAGAATGATTGATGCATTTATATTGCTCATTGTTGTTTTACTCGCTTATCTGCAGCATTCCATTGTTAATATATCACTCGTGGAACAAAGTGAGCGTATAAGAAAATTGAACATTGCTGCTTTCATATCCTCATTCCAAATACGTTTCTTCGAATACACTTCGAAAATGTAGCAGCATTAACATTTGTAATTACGCTAGACACAAACCGTGCTGGATAAATATAGACGTGAAATTTCCTTTCAATGTGGATAATTTCCATCGCATATTTGAATGAAACAGAAACGAATTGGAACACGAGTGAATAACCCTCAAATGCATAGTTTTTAAGGTGTTGATACAGTTTTCTTCACTTTCGTTCATCATTTTACGAATATTATTGTTCCGTTGTTCTACTTTCTTCCACAAAACGACATCGAACCTGCCATACTGTGAAGAAGATTTATTCGCGTTCAGAATACGAAATGTATTCGAATATTGTCATGAGAATGTGCCTGTGTTCTTTCCAGTTATAATTTTGACTGTTTCCGTTACATATCATGTTTGAACCGATATTTTATTCAATAAAATGATTTTTCGAGTGAACATGAAGTGATGATTCGAAGTTGATATAGATAATAATTTAATCATTACGAAATTATTCTCTATATCAACTTCCAATCATTGATGACCGCATTGAAAAAGAGATTCCCCATGACTCTATTGGATATAATGTAAGAAATGTGTTATCTGTTTATGCGTTATCCATTATTATCGTCCCAAAGAGGTGACGAAAAACGTTCGAAAATTCGAAAAATTCAGTTCTTAATTGGCCCTGTCGGTAGCCAACGGGTTGTGGGCTAATGGAAGGGTACCGGAAGACTAGAAGCTGGAGTTGGAACAAGCTGAGTAGTGGCTTAGTCACAGGCTAAAATCTGGACTCAGGCTGAAGTTTTGCCTCAACATTAAACCCACACTTACGCTCAGGCTCTGCACTCTTCACCATCCTGCAGTATCCAACACCATTCCAACCGGAGTTGAACAATCTTGAAGGGTCCCTTTTGATAATATCAGTTGTATGGTGGATGAACGATATTTCGTAATGAGTTACATGCGATAAAGGAGTATAATAATTGTGCAGAATTCATCCAAATGAATAAGTTCATGTAATCGTTCTCAAAAGTTTCATCTGAAAGCCAACAATCCGTCGATATCCGCGCAACAGTTGATCGCATTTCAGCGAATTCAACGGAAGATATTGTCTGTGATGAATAGAGCCAACTGCTAGTGTGCAGATGTTGTTTTGCCATGGACAATTTGATGAAACAACAGAACAATCTACGATCATTTTATTAAGACCATATGCTTAATTCAATTAATTTGACTGTGCTATATTAAAATGAGTAATCCTGGAGCCATTCAATTTAACACTTTGAGTTGCTTGCATCCTTACGGCAACATTAACCCACACACACCCAGTTCATCCTAGTTATTCTACCAGACCAACATCATTAAGATCAAATCTAATGAATATTCGATTCTTCACTCGAATTCCGGTTTAATGTCATCCGAATTTTCGATAATGAGGTGATGTTTAGAAATAGTTCGTTGAATCAGAGTATACCTCATTCCCCATCNAATCCGTCAATATCCGCGCAACAGTTGATCGCATTTCAACGAATTCAACGAAAGATATTGTCTCGGATGAACAGAGCCAACTGCTAGTGTGCAGATGTTGTTTTGCCATGGACAATTTGA